GCGGGGTCTGCGTACGTCCCGGGGGCGGGGCCGGTACGCCGCGTCTCCGGGAGCGACCGTGAGGCGGGCGGCCAGGGTGCCCTTGGTCAACGTGCCTTAGCCTTCCGCGCACCTTCCCATAAAGCCTGCATCTACCAGTCCCCCAGTGCCTTACATGTCCAGGTGGAACGACAGAGTTTGCTTTGCTTCCAGCCATTCTTTGAGCTAAGCATCCTGCATGTTATTGTTTTCTTGTTGATTCGGACGCAGTGACCCTAGTACGTTAGAATGAAACCTGGCCTGGCCCTGCACCCTCCTGTACTTAACGTCTAGCCCATTGTTGCAGCTGCCCGCCAGTCCACCTTGTCCGGGGTCTTCCTCTCTTTTGCTGTCCCGCGACTTCTCCATGCAATAATGTCCTTCTCCAGGCACTGGTCTCTCCTGATCACATGTCCAAAGTAGGTGGGAGGAAGTCTCACCATCCTTGCCTGAAAGGAGCATTCTGCTGTGCTTCCTCCGAGACATGTATTTGTTCTTGCAGTCCATGGTGTTTTCAGCAGTCTTTGCCTACACCGTAATTCGAATGAGTCCATTATTCCTTGTCCAACGTTTACTTGCCTGTGAGGTGACTGACAATACCATGTCTCGGGCCAGGCACACCTTAGTCCTCCACTGACATCCTTACACTTCAGCATTTTCAAGATAGCTTTCTTAGGAGCTGTTCATGACATATGTAAGAGCTCAGATTCTATGTGTTTCAGTCTAAAATTTAGTTTAAAATTAGTGTAGTCTAAAAATCTGTTCGATATATGTGTACTTTTCTAAATAGTATTTGAAAGTATGTAGAACTGGCAAAATTGATGATGCTGTCAATAGAATTAACATATGCCCCATGGGGATGATTTATAATGTTCCCTAATAAAAAGATGTCTCTATAGTGGACCAGGGACATATTTATAAACCATAGATATATGAATGGATTTTGAGCTCTCACTTAATCATAGCCCTAACCTGGAAACAAATGGTTCCTCTGACATGGCCCTATTCGATACCCGTCACCCTCATGAGGAGATCACTGAAGGTACGGGTGCTACAGCAAAGTGTGGTGAAGAAACTACAAATGGTGCCCTGCTGTCAGAGTGTCTGGGGGTCTTAAAGGCTTGTCCTAAGGCAACCAATGATCTTACTGAGGTATCAGCTAAGTCCACATGGAAGAAGCACACCAGCCTGTGTGAAAGGATTGTAAATAATACAATCCAAGACTAGAGGAGGGAATAGTTTTAGAGCTCACATTCTGAGAGCCTGGTTTGCAGAAGGCTGTAGGTGACAGTGAAAACCCAAAATCTATTTTCAGGGTCCCTGTGGGATCCAGCCCCACATCCGGATGGGTCCCAAGGGATGATTGTGTAATTTAAGGGAAGAAATTAAGAGACAGACAAAAGTTTTAGGGTGCTCAGCTCTGCCATGGCATCAGGAACTAGGTCCGAGCAGAGAGAAAGAATGTATTCTTTTTTTTTTTTTTTTAAAGATTGTATTCTTACATCAACTTATGTCATCTTGGGCATGCAAGCCACGGTAAGCACATACATAACAAGAAGGGGTTGTGTTAGGGGCATACGTGAAAGAGGAGGGGGAGGAGCTAGAGGCATACATGTGACAGGAAGGTGCACGCTAACAAGATGGGTGGGCTCTAGAGTTAAGAAGGCAGCCTAACCTTGGTGGCCTCTGAGAGTCGGTTTGGGTGTCTCAGAGCTCTTCTCCAGGGGGGCAGTCTATGATCCTTATCAGAAAGGAGGGGGCCCTACTTAGGGTGGGGCAGACAATAGGATGTGATTGCTCTTGATGGCAGTCTGCCTTCAAGCAGTTGACCTTCAAGAGTATAGTAAGCAACATGTGCCTGCAAAGAGCGCCTTAAGATTGGCATTGTTATGGGGACATTGTGGGGAATAGCTCTTACTTAGGAGAATGTGGCGGGAATACATCTCCGACCTACCAATGTGAAGGTCTCACTCCACTCCACGGGTAACCTGGCCTCCCAGACTCCTTAACATATGAGGGTAGAGAGTTTGTCTGCACACACTCTCTTCCCGGTTCTGTTTCCCACGGGTCCCCTTGTGGATGAAACCCTCAGCGAATCCCCTCTGGCCACTGACCGGGGATGTGAATAGCCCTTGCGATCTGACAGTGCATTGGAAAGTAGACTAATGTTGATGTAATTGGGTTAAAATTTAACAGCTTTTCATTTGTTCTTTTTGACTATTTTTAAATTTTTTCTAGTTTTTATTATCTTCTGCCATTCTTTTACATTTTATTTTCACAGTTTCCTGTTTTGTTATTGTTGTTGGGCTTGTTTTGTGTATTTTTTGTATATGCAATCCAGGATTGGTAAATCTATAGAGACAGTAAGTACATTAATGGTTTCTTAGGGTATGGCAGGGGAGTTTGCGGGGGAATGATGAGCTCTAATAATGAGTACAAGAAATGTCAAAAAATTTATTGCAGTGCTAACTACACAACTTTTAAAAATGTTTACACTCTTGAGTTATGTCACTAAAACTGTTTTGTTTTGGCTTTTAAAACACCTGGGTTCCTTCCCCATCACTTACTAGCCAAGTGAACTTGGACACTTGGTGTGTTTCCTGGTCTTTAGAATGGGGATGCCAGTACAGAGCTCATAGATGATGTAGCTATAAAGCAGCGGGCACAGGGCCTGGCACCTCCCAAACCAAAGCCACTGACAGTGAGTCAATTCTGACTCCTAGCAAGCCAGCAGGACAGGGTACAACCGCCCCCGATGGTTTTCAAGATTGCCAATCTTCCAGGAAGGAGCTTGCCAGCATCCATTTGCCACATCTCTTTCCTACCCAGAGAGCCAGTGGTTACAAACTCCCAACCTTCTGATTCACAGCCGAGCGCTTTAACAACTGTGCCAACAGGGCCCCTTGCCTGCCCTATAGGGCTCAGCAAATCAATCTATTGTTCTTTTTTTTCTATTGTTCTTATTTACAGCACTAGGCATTTTGAATTATGGTGCTGGCAAGGAATATTGAAAGTACTGTGGCTGGCCAAAAGAACAAACCCGTCTGTCTTGGAAGAAGCACATGCGCCTTAGAGGCGAGATGGGGACACTTCATCTCTCGGCCTTTGGACATGTTGTCAGGAGGGACCAGACGGTGGGGAGGACATCCTGCTTGGTGAAGTAGAGGGGCAGCAAGAAAGAGGAAGGCGCTCTATGAGACGGATGGAAACAGTGGCCACAACCCTGGGCTCCAACGTGTTGACTGTGAGGCTGGCGAGGGCCGGGTGGTGTTTCCTTCGGTGGCACACAGGGTCGCTATGGGCCAGAGCCGACTGGACAGCACCTCACAGCAAGCATCTTATTAACTTAGGATCCCACTTGGCATTAGCGCAACGGGACCCGACAGCCCCCTGCATTATATTACCTTCCTCTATCTGTTTATTGGTGAGTTAGTTAGTTTATTGTGCCAACCTGGCTGATAAACACGTGGGGATAATTGAAGGGCGGAGGGATAAATGACTCGGTGAGCCTCGCCTTTCGAGTTCTCAGGTCTCTTGCTTTGTGATGGTCACACCAGGGTGCAGCTGCCTTAGCCAGTTCCCTGCTTCAGCTGGCAAGACTCACTTCCTGAAAGACATCCCCGAGGAGAAGCCACGTGGACCTATCCCGATGCAGCCCTGGGTGCTGGAGCAGCCGTGTGGAGACCCTGCCAGCACTGAGATGCTTGCACATTCACTGACTCGGCTTTCCTCCTGCAGTCGGCTGTCATTGCCTCTGTTTTGTGAGATGGAGGAGGGCTTTATGAATTGGTGTCGGACATATGGGTTCATGTTGGACTTGTGGGCTTGGGCAGCACTGGGTTGGGATGTTTTCTTTCTTCTTCTTTTTTTTTTAAAATCATTTTATTAGGGGCTCATACGGGATGTTTTCTTGATGTGCACTTAACCTTTATATAAAATTCTTATATGTGAGTTTCTGTGGATTTGTTTCTCTAAAGTACCCAGACTAACACACTAGGATAACACACTATGTTAGGGAGCCAGCATAGGGACCAAGGACATTTATCGGGCCGGCCAGCCAGGTGTTTTTGCCACCGCTGCCTGTCCTGCTTGGCAGCCGACTCATCCTGAGCCCACAATGCGCATGTGTGGAATGTGCACGGCACCCTCTGACTCCCCTCCTTCTCTCTGTCTCTGACTCCTCCTCTCAGTCTCGGTGTGTAACAGAGCTACTCAACAGTTTCAACGTGCAGCTTCAAGGAAAGGGGAAGCTCATCTGTGGTGTGCAATCACACGTGAAAGCATTTGAAGTACAATTAGGCCTCCTCATCAAACAAGTGAAGGAGGAAAGTTTCTGCCATCTCCCGACAACTGAAAATCTGTTAGCAGGAAAAACCATTGGTTGCATTCCCAAACAAAACATGTGTGGGTTCACTGGAAAAGTTGTAAAAGGAGTTCCAATTTAGATGTAAAGAGCTTCATCTCCACGTACAGCACATATAGCTTTTCCGTAACCCATTTTCTACTGACATGGAAAATGTGGATACAATTCACCAAAAGGAACTAACTGGCTGACTGCAGATCGTGACTCTCTGAAAGACGCATCCAAGTCACGCAGCCTTCCTGATTCCTCTGCCTCTCTCCCCTCGGAGACACAGCCTCATCTCAGGAACCGTGCCCTCACAACGGCAACCATCTTTGGCAGCACGTATGTCTGCGAACAGACTTTTTCCAGAAGAAACATCTGAAATCTCCAACCAGATCTAGACTAACATGCACACTTGCATCCCTTGTTATGACTAGCAGTGACAAATATGGAACCGGACATTGCCCATCTCATTAGCAAAAAGCAGGCCCATAGTTCCCATTGAAATACTGGTAAGTTTACTGATTTAACTTTACTTGTTCTTCATTTTTAATATTGTATTTGTTCCCGTTTTGTTTTTTTACTTCAAAATAAGATATGTGCAGTGTGCATAGGAATTTGTTCATAGTTTGTTTTTTTTTAACTATAGTCCAGCCCTCCAACGGTCTGAGGGACAGTGAACTGGCCCCCTGTTTAAAAAGTTTGAGGACCCCTGGCCTAAACTCAGCCCGTGAGGTCAGCCAATACCTCCAACCACACCTCCCCAGCCGGAGGAGGTAGAAGCAGCCATGGGCAGGCCACTTCTACTCCTCTCTTGTACTCCTGACCCCTCTCGTGTTCGGGTGCTGCTTGCAGGTCAGAGGGCAGGCGTACCGCCTGGACCTTGGGGCCCTTCTCTCTTAGGGTGCTCTTTTGGGATTTCCTGTGAATACCCGAAACTTTTTTTCCCTCATAAAAGTCACTTGGATCACAAACGTGCTTCTGCCACGTCAATTCTCTCAGCGTTGCGAAGCAAGACCCAAGGTAAACCAGTGCAGAACCCTAACTGTAGTATTAAATTAAAAAATAATGACGCAGAGGGAGGGGAGGGGACCGGCCCTCACCCGCTGCTACTCCTACGAGTTCAGTAATACTACTTCTGGGTTCAGTAATGCACAATTGTACGATTGAGATCTATAAGCATTATGTTAAAGTCATCGAGAGCATGAGAGCTAATACAATAATACAGTCAGGCATGATACATAGCAACATTGCTCACCTCAGCCCAGCTTGGTGGTCCAAGTGGAGAGAGGGGGAAGGGAAGGAGGGAAAGGGAACAAGGGAGAGCGGGAAGAGTCAGGGAGGTCAGAGTCCGAGAGAGAAGTCCGAGCCTATATTGCTGGCCCATGCCTATATACCTTTTGGGGGCAAGCCAGCCCACTAATTACAGGTAGAGACATACATCACAGGGAGGGGTTACACTATAGGCTACACAGCAATGAGAGGGTGGTCTCTGGGTCTCCATAGGAACATTATCAGTAGGGTGCAAACCCCTCCTACAGGAACCAAGCTAATGGCCTTAGGCTCCAGAGAGAGGTAGTCTATTGTCTCCAGCAGCAGGGAGCAGGCCCAGCCCTGCTGTGGGATGAGACAGCAGTCTGGCAGCAAGTATCTGACTTCCCCCTACACCTAACAACCGTACCTTCTCACCCACACCCACACCGCATTAAGATAGGTGCCTGGGTAGCACAAGGGCTGGAGCTCAGCCACCAGCCAAAGAGTGTGGTTCTTATAGACCCACTTGCACCAGGAAAGAAAGATCTAGTGATCCATGTGGTTTGGGTACTGAAAATCCCAGGAAGAGCATCCCCTGACATCCACGGGGTGGGAGCTGACATCCGGGGTCTGGGATCTAGCAGGCTTCAGCAGGTTATTTAGATAGATAGTGAGATCGTTTATTGTGCCAGCCTGGCTGATAAACACAAGTGGGATTAACTGAAGGGCAGAGAGATAAATGGCTTGGTGAGTCTCGCCTTTCTTGTCTCTCGCTCTGTGATCATCGGACCAGTGTGCAGCTGCCTTGCTTGTTCTGTGCCTCAATTTAAAGGCTACACTACCTGTGGGACACTAGCCTGTGGACTGTCACTGTAAGTTGAGGTCCCTTTAAGACATCTCTGGAGCTGGGGACTGGCGGTTGGTGACCTGCCTTGTGATTGGCTGCTGTGCTGACATAGCTTAGCTCTCTCTACAAATAGAGGAAGCTCTGGCATTAGACTAGACTAGAAGGACTGCTAGTCTCTCAACTTTCTCTCACGGACGTGAGTTGCACTGAGCCATTTGTAGTGCTTTCTTAACTGTTTATTTCTTGTATTATATATTTGTCTGTATATGATTTAACAGTTCATTTCTCATTATCTATCTAATTATCTTTATAAATAAATATATTAAATTATCAGGAATTTGGTTTTATCTCTCTAGAGAACCCTGTCTAACACAGATAGCGACCATGGGATTGACTCCACTTCACGGCCCACCCATGTACAAGAGAACAAACCATCACCTGGCCTCACAGGTAAACTCAAGCCCATCCTTGCTGCTCCCCAGGAGTCCAGCGGCAGTCACAGTTTGAAACCACCGGTCTCTCCGAGGGAGAATGCCGAGTGTTTCCACTAGTGGTAGCTATTTGCAGCCTTGGCAACCCACCGAGGCCATTCTACTGTGTCCTATAGGGTTGCTAGGAGTTGGAATCAACTGGTTGGCAGGGAAGTTTGTTGTTTTTGTTTTGTTCTGTGTCTAAACCGATCGTCTCACTAAGGACCCTGCTCACCGTATGAGGCTCGCACTTCCCCAACATGATGTCCTCCTCCGTGAGTGACTCCTCCTGCTGGCTGTCCAGGCAACCTTTAGTAGGACGACAGCCAGGGCAATGCCCCAAACCAAACCCTTCGCTACAGAGCACACACCCAACTCTTAGTGACCCCCCAGGAAAGCGTGGGGCTGGCCCCGAAGGCTGACAAGGCTGTCAATCTCCACTGAAGCCAACTGCCACATCTTCCCCCTCAGCGTGGCTGGTGAGCTTGCACCGACCAGAGTGCCGCTGAGCACTTTAACCACTGCCCCACCAGGGCCCTGGCTCTGGGGTAAAGAGTGCACTGTTACATAAAAAGAACTTAGGAATCACAAGCTAGTTACCCTTAAGGCGCCAAGAGTAAAGATACAACCCAGACAGACAAACTCACTAATAGTGACCCCATGGGGCGGAGTAGAACGATCTCTGTGGGTTTCCCAGGCGGTACCTTTCTATGGGAGCAGAAAGCCCGTTCTTTCTCCTGTGGAGCAGCTGGTGGTTTTGAACTGCTGACCTTGTGGTTAATAGCACCCTGTGTCACCACTACACCACCAGGCTCCGGGAAGAATACAGGTAAGTGGAGTAAATCGAAACTAAGCCCACTGCCATAGAGGTGGACTACAGGTCTTGTTTTTATGCCACATGCGCTCAGTGCATTCTGGGTAATTCACTGAGAAAGGCTAACCTCCCTGCTATGGCCAGAAACGCCCTTCAGGCCTCGGACTGAACTCACTCCTTTGAAAGTCTCCTTGGTCATAAGAGGTCATCGTGTCCAGTGGGTGTCCCCTGTGGTCCAGCTATGACCTTTACATGCTTGTTTTGGGAGAGCGCTTACCTGTAAAGTCGGTTATGGCAGGTGCCATTAGGTGTGGGATGCAGATAGGATTTTCCCCAGGTTGTCCCCGCATAATATATGCCAAACCTAGGACACATGGTCATTGACTACACACTTGGAGGTCAACTGCTTAGAGGTTATCTCCCTGGGATATCAGCCATCTAGAACAGTCAGACCCTATTGTCTGTCCCACCAGAGAGGGGGTCACTCCCTGCTGATAAGGATAGTGGATTGCTCCCCTGAAGGAGAGCCGAGACAAGTCAAGCCAACTCAAGGAGGATCAAGGTTAGGCTGCCATCTTGCATCTAGTGTCCGCCCATCTTGTCACATGTACCCCTAGTACCTCTCCTCCCTACTACGTGTACACACCTAGCTCCCCCTCCTCCTGTGGCACATAGGCCTATTGTACAACCCCTTCCCATTATGATGTGATCAGGGGGTTGGCATGTCCCCTACATGTGTATAAGCTGTGACTGGAAATATATTCACGTTCTCTGCGCAGACCTGGCTGCTGAGATCCCGGCCGTCCCAGGGGTGAGCGCTTGCACGCTTTATCTTGTCTGATGTCGCTTTAATTTTACCCCTCAATGACACAACCGCCCCTTGGACCCGTTCGATTGTGGGGGCTGGTACCCCACAATTAGGTTGAAATGTAACGCTTTGTTCTGCTAGGATGTAGCTATAAAACAGTGACACACCTAAGGAGCAATTATTGGTCTTCCACCTGGCGCAAAAACAGAGTAAAGACAATCAAAGTTGCATGGGGCCAATTAGTGCCAAGGACTAACAGACCAGGCAGAGGTCAGCCTCCGGGACTAGACAGTATCCAGCTACACTACTGACTATTCTGCAAGGGACCCTTTGAGAAGGTCCTTGTAAGGAGCATTCTGGCTGCATTCTTCCAAGACAGGTTTGCTGCTCTTCCGGCCATCCACAGTATTCCATATTCTTCGCCAGCACTATAATTCAAAGGCAAAACTCCTCTCTGATCTTCCTGACTCACTGTCTGGTTTTCACAGGCACGAGAGACCATGGAGAATCGTTTGGGTCAGGTACACCTCAGTCCTCAAAGCCGCATTTCTGCTCCACATACTTTAAAAAGGTCCTGTGCCACCTGCGTGCCCAGTTATAACACACTGTCTGATTTCTGACTGATGCTCCCGTGAGTTTCGGTTGTGGATCCAAGTCAAATGCAGCCCTTGACCACCTCAATCTCCTCTCTACTGATCACCACGCTGTCTGTCGGTCCAGTTGGGAGGATCTGGGTTATCTTTCCATCGAGCTGCAGCCTTTGATCTGCCTCACTTTCAGCAAACAAGGGTCTGTATCTGCATAGCGAAAGGTTTTAATGAGCTGCCAATTTTTTTCTCATAGTACAGTTGGAGCCTCTCATGTGATGGGACATGGGTGACTTATTTCCACAAAAAACAAAAAATACACACGTCTGCTATCGGCCAGAGCGGGGCCAGAGCCTTTTCTTTGAGGAAGGGTGGTCTCCATCTTCTTCCTTGAAGCATCACCTGTAACCTGCAGTGCCACTGGGAGCAGACTGAGTGCAGAGTTCACCTAGACGTGCATGACTGTCCCCAGTCTGTCACTACCTGCTGGCTCATCTCTAACTCAAGAGCAGTGTTTTTGAAGTGACTCACCTTCATCCAATCTTAACACTCAGAAACGGGGGCTTGTTTTCACACTCTTCACTCCCAACGTACAGACTATTTAATGAAACCGCAGCCTGCAAGCACGTGGAAACGGGCATAAACACACTTGGTTTCCAAAGGAACCGGCTCTTTGTCAGCAGTGACTGAGCTGGGAGAGAGGAGGGGAGCAGCATTCTAGAAGGCACGCCATGCCAAGAGGAGAGCCCTGCCTTCTCCATTGACTAGCTGGGTGGCCTGGGAGAACCAGCCTGTAAGATCAAACACCAGCTCCCACCACCATGTTTGACATGAACTTGTAAGTCACCCGCGACTCCACGTCCACTTCCGTTTTACTTTGCCTCCTTTTTCAGCCACGCAGACCAATATCAAAGGGGAGTGTATTAGTCTAGGTACTTTAGAGAAACAAATCCACAGCAACTCATGTATAAGAAAGTTTTATGTAAAGAAAGTGTGCATCATGAAAACATCCCAACCCAATGCTGCCCAAGCCCACAAGTCCAACATTAACCCATTAACCCAACACCAGTCCACAAAGTCCTCCACCTCACAAAACAGAGGCAATGATGCCGACTGCAGGAGGAAAGCCGAGTCAGTGAACGAATAAGCATCTCGGCACTAGCAGGGGTCTCCACACGGCTGCTCCAGCACCCAGGGCTGCATCGGGATAGGTCCATGCGGCTTCTCCTTGGGGATGTCTTGCAGGAAGTCAATCTTGCAAGCTGAAGCAGGGAGCTGCTAAGGCAGCTGCACCCTGGTCTGACCATCACAAAGCAAGAGACCCGAGAACTAGAAAGGCGAGGCTCACCACCCATTTATCCCTCCGCCTTTCAATTAGCCCCACATGTGATTATTGGCCAGGCTGGCACAATTAACTAACTCAGGGATAGAGGCTGTGTGTCTTCTTTTCCTCTTCAGTGACAGGGCGGGAGGGTACACTTGCCTCGTTAGCCACGCGGTAGGGATTACAGGAGAAACCGCCTGTGGACAGTGAGGATCCTGCGTGGCACGTGGTAACTGCGCAGTAAGGCTACCTAGGGCTGTCACAGCTGCTGCTGGCAGCAGTTGCTCCACAGCAGCGGTTCTCAACTGGTGGGTCCAGACCCCTTTTGGGGGTCGCCTAATCCTTTCACAGGGGTCGCCCAAGACCATCGGAAAACACATTACAATGTACATGACGATTCATAACAGTAGCAAAATTACAGTTATGCAATAGCAACGCAAATAATTTGATGGTGGGGGTGGTCACCACAACATGAAGAACTGTATTACAGGGTTGCAGCGTTAGGAAGGTCAAGAACCACTGCTCTACAGGCTATAAACCTGACTCCAGCAGTATGCCGGGGGGCTTCACAGAGGAGGAAGACTGCACAGATGACAGGTATAATGACTGCCTCCCCCATGATATTCTTCTGCCCACTGCACAGGAGAACATGGACGTCTAAAGAGAGTCAGTGATTGCAAAGCCATGGGACCCCCCAAAAGGCACAGTTTCTTAGAGATTGACAAGGACCTTCGCAATCACGAGGTTGGATGCAAAAAGAAAAGGGGAATCCAGGAGCTATTGTCATTTTTCCGATTGCTGATGGAGTCCAGAAAATCCCAGTGGGGAGCATACAGACGCCCTTCCCCACCTGCTCAGGAGCCCAGCCATTGACCTCGCGTGGCGCACGCCCACACAGGGTTTAAGGACCTGCACAATTGGAGAGGTCTCTTCACTTGTGTATCAGGAGGGACTACAGAGGCCAGAGCCGTGGTGAGCAGAGCCTTGTCACGTGATGGTGCAGAAGCCAGACTCCGTGGGTCTCCTCTGTGGATGCCGGATGCCGGCTTCTCTGGACCATTTGGATGAACTGCAGGAGGGAGGGAGGGGCCCGTCGGTGCTAGTGGCTAGAGGATAAGAACAGGCCGGAGGCAGCCTGCTCTGGCTCCAGCTTCCTGGGGCTCACTCAGGCCTTCACCTCTGCTGGTGGGCTCCAGGACAGGAGGGCGCAGGCTTCAGCTTCACCACCCCCCAACCCCCCATGCTGCAGGGCCCTCTCGGAGGCACACAGTCAGGCCTCGCAGGAAGCAGGGGAGATCCTGGGGCTCCCGAGCTGGGTGGGGGTTGCTCTTATTGCTAACGGACAAAGACAAAGAGGTCCAGAGTCCTGGCTCCCCAAACATCAGATCACAGCTTCCCCAACCTTGCCAATGGGACCACCAACACCATCCCATGCCACAGCCTCGTCTCGGTCCTTTGTCCCTTCTCCAAGGTCCCTTCCTTCCCTCAGGGACCCACCTATGGGCTTGAGGGCCACTGGGTACCACGATGCCGGGGAGCTTCGCTCTGGAGGAGCCTGCGCCTTCAAATGAGAGCTGTCTCCTGGGTCCTGGACCTGGGCATGACAGATGCGGTCATCAGAGCCCTCCTGGCGGACAGGGGACAGGAGGATGTTTGGGTCACTGTTCCCTACACATGCTGGGGGCCGGCCAAACATGAGCTGACAAGAGGCAAGCTGGCAGGATGGTTTCCTGAAGAAGACATCCGTGGATTCAAGGCAATTCCACAAGTGGCCAGCAGGAATTCTGCTCCTGACGTTGAAAGACTGGGACAGAGACTACTAAATAGTTAGGGCAAGGAAAGGGCCCCACCTGGCACTGCCCCCTCAGCAGTGGGCTTTCTGCGAACCCTGGTTGTGCACCTTGGCTGGGGTGCAAGGTTCTGGAGTTAGAGAAAGGTCCGGGTCGTAGGCAGGCAGCAGGGATTCCAGAGAGGGATGGGGGAAATGGGCTAGGACCTTGGAGACAGACAGAAATCGAGGGAAGGCTGGGATGCTGGAGAGGGAAGGGGGGCCAGGCAGGGTGGATTCAAGGGTGCACTAGACTTCAGTGCAGACCGGGGGGGATGGGAGTGGGGTGGAGGAAGAAGCAGGTGGGCTGGGCATTGAGGAAAAGGGAGGAGGGGGCTGAGGGTGAGGAGGGTGGAGGGAATGCTCCCATGCTGGGAAAGGGGCACAGCTGGTGCAGACATTGGCATCTTCTGCACTCACGCTCCAGCCTCCCAGACCGAGACATGGCAGGAACCGTCGGCGACCCATCCTCTTCCAAGTCATTCTCAGACCTTTCGCCTTCCCACCCACTGGCAGAGCTGCGGGGTCAGGGCAGAGAGGCACCTCCTGGGGCCTGGTTCCCTGACCTCAAGGCCTGTCTACTGTGCCCCCACCCCCTCCAAAGGCCACCCCCATCCCAGAAGCCCACCTCCCTCCCCTTCACCTGCGATGGCCATCCGCAGTCCCCCACTGCACAGTGGCTGAGGGCCCTGCTGCTGGGAAGGGCCTCCCTGAAGCCAGGGGCTGGGGATAAAAGGAGAGTAAAAGGCCTTGATTGGAGAAAGCTGTTGTCGGGGCGGGGACGGGGGCAGAGAGAAGCTATGACTTTAGAGAGTGACATGCACAAACAGGACCCAGAGTGTGCCATTGAGAAGGACAACACCACTGTGAGACCCTCTGATCCATTAAGACCGCCCCCCCCCCCCCCCCACACACACACACACACGGCTCACGGGGGCCACCCCGTGCCCCCCCCACACACACACACTAATAATACTCAACTGAGCATGTGAGCTCAGGGCGATCAGATCTGCCAGGGCCTGACCCCACCCCATCCTGCCTGGGACCTCGAGGTCCCGGAAATTGGTGGCAGACCTCGCATGGGCCCCCCAAGCCTCTGGCCCCCAACCCAATCCTCTGCCTGTACGAACGGGCCTAAACTAAACCTGCTGGCAGGAAAGAGTACAGTGTCCTAGTCCTTACAATGAGGGAGGGCAAACCCAATAAGAAACACTAGTTTCAGCTCCTGCGTGGGCGGAGGAAGGCTTCCCAGGGGTGTCTCGCAGTGCGAGGAAGGGATGGGCAGGTGTAGAGCCCTTCCCTGACTGGAGAGAGGGACTTCCCTGGAGCACCAATGCCATCGTGTGGCCTCTTCGGGAACTGCAGCCAAGGGCTCGGGAGCCTTCACCCTGGGGGCTGGTTACTACACGGCCAAAGTCCTCGCACAGCCCTAGTGTGGACCACGTGCCGTGCTCCCCCCGCCCGCCTCACTACTCCCCAGGAAAGTGACAGACCCCAAACAGGACTTCCGCTCTGCCGACCCCTCCCCATCTTCTCTGGGTAACCACGGTGTCACCTCACCGGGCTGTGAGTCTGCGCCAGGCCGCCCTGGGCCAAGTGGGTCCTCATCGCATCCGCCAGCTTGGCCACCAGGCGCTGTCTCACAGAAGCCGGCTCCTTCTGCGGGGAGGGAGGATAAACAGGGTCATGGGGAAGCCCTGGGCTTGGGGGGTGGGGGGTGGTCCTCTGGGGACTGGGGAGAGGGCAGAGAGGGAGGAGGAAAGAGGGTCTGGTCTCCATGGGCTTCTATTCCCTCCCTTTGCCCTTCCCAGGGGTCCTGAATTACAGACAGGACCGTGTCCCTAGATGAGCTAATGAATGGGCAGGCCATGAGTGCCCTCCTGCTGGAGGAGGCAGGCCTGGAGGGAGGTGGTCTCACCTGGCACTGAGCCAGCGCTTCCTTATAGTGTGTCAAGGCCTGGTCATATTGCCCCAGTCTGGCCGCAGCAGCCCCCAGACCCTCACAAGCTTGCCACTGCCCCTTGACATCCCCTGGGGGAGGGAGAACGTCAGGGGTCCTTCCTTTGACCCGCCCCTCCAGAGGTCCTCCCACTCAGACGCCCCTTCCAGCCTCCCTTCCAGCCCCTCCCCTCACCGGTATCCCTGGCGGCCTGCAGGGCATGAAGGTAGTTGTCTCTGGCGGCCTTGTGGTCCCCCAGCTGGCTCAGTGCAAATGCCAGGCTGCCAAAGCTCCGGCCCTGTTCCCACCGCTGCCCCTGGGAGCCTGAGACAGAGCCCTCCCATCCAAAGAGGGGACCTTGGTGCCGGGCCACCTGAGCCTGCCCCCCAGCAGCCAAGTGAGGGCTCCCAGGGGCGTGGTGCCTAGCCCCAGCAAGCCCTAAACTCTTGAACCTGGCCTCCTCTTGGGCCTTTGTTTTTGGCTTGGCCCTGCCCCTCCCCTCTCCCATCCCTCACCCTGGCTTGTTCAGGCCATACAGCACCCCGGTGAGGAGGGCAAGGCTGGTATGAATGGGCCCATTTAGATCCCTGGATGTCACAGTCAGAGCAGGGGCAGAAACGCCACTTGGAGCCTCCTCTCCCAGTCCGACTGTGGGTGCCTCCCCACACCCCGGCCTCACTGTCCACAACCCCTGCCAGACCTGGCCTTCCCTTCTCCTGCTCCCCAGGCCCGGCCCCTGCTTCTGAGCGCCCAGGCCCTGATCCGGACCCCAACGGCCAGCCCACCCCATCCTCAGCCATCCCTAAGGCCCTGGCACCCACCATGCAGGTCGGCCGCCTTCTGGTGGTACTCCAGAGCCTCCTGGTAGTTGGCGAGGGCATTGTGGGCCATCCCAAGGTTTCTCAGCACCGTGGCTTCCTCCCTCGGCCCCCGGCACAGGGGCAGGGCTTGCAGGAAGGCCTCCACGGCCAGTGGGAACAAGCGGAGCTGGGAGTAGCCCAGGCCAAGGTCATTATAGAGTTGCCCTAGGGAGCATGGCCAGGGTTGGACATCCAGGCTGGACTGTTGCCATTCCTGCCCCCCTCCCCCCAGGCTCCCCCTTCCCCGAGCCCTCAGAGCAGAGCATCACCCGACTCTGCATCTCCCCACACCCCACACCCCCTGCCCAAAGGCCTCACCCAGAAACTCCCGCTCGGTGCTCCTCTCGGCAAGCTTCCAGCTGTCCTGCAGTACCTGCAGGACCTCACCCACGCCATGCTGCCCGCCCTCCAGCATGCACCGTGCTGCGGCCCCCAGTGCCAGGGCTGCCGCCTGAGGCCGCCCTGCCTGGACATAAGCCCAACTGGCCTCCTGCAGACAGGGGGCTGCGAGTTCGGGCTGCCCCAGAGCCTGGTAGCAGGCTCCCATTTTTGCCTGGGCTTCTCCCTGCTCGCCCTGTGGTTGGTAGTGGCCCAGGGCTCTGTGGTACCAGGCCAGAGCTTGAGGCAAGTCGCCCAGGGCCTGGTAGGCCAAAGCCACGTTGAAGCACTGGTCACCACGGCCCCCACCCTGCGCCTTCTCTTCAGGGTGGGCTCGCAAGAGCAGCTCCAGGCCTCTGGCCGGATCCCCAGTCTCCACGTAGGCAGCTCCCAGGTTGAAGGCGCAGGCCCGGAGAACAGGGCCAGCCGGGGCGTGCGGGGCCTCGGAGGCCAGGAGAAAGGCCTTCTGGAAGTTGGTCAAGGCCTCGTGGTTCCGGCCTGCCTGCAGGGCGCCGTGCCCGGCCCTGGTGAGGGCCCGGATGCTGGCCTCCTTCGGCAGCCCCTTTCTTCTCTTCTTCACGGAGTTGGAGCTTGAGCGCTCAGGCCCAGGCTCTTGGGGCATGTCCTCAGGGGGGGAGGAAGACATCCGGCTGATGACGGGGGACGGAGGGGTCAGTATGGCTTCCCGCAAAGCAGAATCCCTTGTAGGCAGTTCTGCTCTGCCTCTGCCCTGCGGCAGCCGGCCCTCTCTCGCCTGTCCTGCCCTGACTCAGTCCTCCTGTGAGACCCAGCGTCATGGCTGCCTGTGAAAGCCCCTCTCCCCTAGCTCACCGGTCCTTCTCTGCCCCCCCAGTCCCTCGAATCTTCCATGCCATTTAGCACATTGGGGTCGAGTGGCTGACTTTTCTGCTTGCCTGGCACGCTGCATTCGGAGCCACTTTAAATGGTCGGCACATCGTAGGTCCTCAAACCCAAACCAAACTCACGGCCATGGAGTCAGCTGACGACTCATAGCAACCCTATAGAACGGTAGCGACCCTATAGAACAGGGTAGAACTGCCCCCATGAGTTTCCAAGGCTTCAACTCGGGACCGGAGTAGAAAGCACCACCCCCTTTGTCCCCTCGGAGCGGCTGGTGGTTTCGAACGACCAGCCATGTAGTTAGCAGCTCAAGGTATAACCACTAGGCCACCAGGGCTCCTTTGTGGGTCCTCAGTCCATGGTGACTGCCTCACAGGCCCTCTGTCACCCCGTCACCCTGTGTCCTCCCCCACACTCACATCTTTATCCAACCATGTGCTATCTGTCGTTCAGATCGGCAACTATTCAAGCGGATCCCTGCTGGGTGCCCAGAGCCCACTGGGCACAGGAGCCCAGCAATCCATAAGCCATTGAATTGGCAAGGACGCCTGCTGGTGCCATGGTGGTAGGCGGTCAGAGGCTGGAGCCCGGCCCCTGCTCCATGCAAGGAAAGCTCCGCATAGCCGGCTCCCATTAAGGTGTCCGCGTGGGGACAACTGCGGCGGGGCAGTGCTGTGTCATGGGTCGCTCAGGGTTGAATTGACTCCATGGGACGTAGCCACCTCCCCTGGGAGCAGGAGGCCCGCTCCCTCTGTTTACCGTCTCCAGGGAAATCTCTCCCTCCCTAACTTCTCAGCATCCAGTCTGCAGCAGGCCCCAGCCCCACCACATCCCTCTGGGATATCCAGACCCCTCTTAAAGGAAAATCCATTGGTCTCATTAGCATCTATAAAAGTCACCTTCTCTCCCGGGGAAAGACGACCGCTTTTTAATGAAATCTCTTCCCAGGAGTCAGGAAAGGGTGTGGAAAGACCAGGCATCTGGGCGCTCAGCCTCTCCCATGTTCTTCTCTTATTTTCAGCGGTTGGGTAGACAGAGGCATTGCATTTCTTTGGGGGGAAGATCCCAGACCCAGAAAGGAATCTCCCCCACCCCGCCATACACACACACACCACCCTGGTCTTGGGGCCCCTGCGCCGGATGCCATACCTCCTTCGGTCTTCCTTGAAGCTGACTGTCTGGAATGGTCCCTCCAGCTTGGGTTACCACCTGGCTCATATCGCAGAGCCCTGGGGTTGCCAGACAACAGGATACCACCCTCCACTCCCAGGGAATTCTTTGATTGACAACTCAAGGGCCCTATCTGAGTGCTGAACCCGGATGGTCCTTAGGCCCAGAGCCATCTAGGTTCCACTGCCCTTCCGGGCTCACAGACTCCCACCGACCGGTACGGTGGGGGTGGGGGGCAGACTCACCCCGCAAAACCCTTACAACTGGGAATGAAGCAAGTCATCATGGGATTTGTTACGGGTTGCCCTCTCTCGCCCTCTCTTTCGTAGAGGGAGGGGATGGAGGTTTAGAGAGTGGGTGTGCCTGGGGTTAGTCTGATTCTAGGTTCCTGTTAATGGATTAAATTCGTCCCTCCAAGAATGCTGAAATCCTAACCCCTTTACCTGTAAGAAGGAGTCTTCTTGTCGCTGGTTATGAGATGGGCTGCAAACCGAGAGGCTAGCAGTTTGAATTCCCCAGCTGCCCCGTGGGAGAAAGAAGAGGCTTTCTACTCCGATTAAAAATTAGTCAGAGCGGGGTGGGGTGGGGGTGGAGAGGAGCTGATACCAAGGGCTCAATAGAAAGTAAATTTTTAGAAAATAATGATGGCAACATATGTACAAATATGCTTGATACAGTCTCAGAAACCCACCGGGGCAGTTCTACCCTGTCCCATAGTTACCATGAGTCAGAATGAGTTTGTAAAGAGAGCTTGCTTGTGTTATGTTAATGGGTCCTATCAGAGTAGTGTGGGTCCGAAGTCTAATTCCTTATGCAAAAGTCAAATGCAAACTCACTGCCAACTCGGAGTGTCCCTGTGGGTCAGGGTGGAACTGCCCCTGTGGGTTTCCGAGACCGTAACTCATAACTCTTGATGAGAGTAGAAAGCCTTCTCTTTCTCCCCAGGAGCGGCTGGTGATTTCAAACCTCCGATCTTTCAGTTCAAAGCCCCACACATAACCAGAATGCTACCAAGGCTCCTGTGGTCACTTATAAAAAGGAAAATCACACAAGGGAAGAAGAAGTTAGGCGACGGTGGGAAAGCAGAAGCATCTACAAGCCCAGGTACGCCAAAGATCGCCGTCAGATGCCAGGAAGCCAGGCCTGCGCTTTGCCTCTGGGAACTCAGGACTTTGGGATCCATGGAGAGCAGCTCTCCTCTGCACACACGAGGGCGGCCGAGCCAGGATGGACGGACTCCCTGGAAAGTAGGCCAGTGACAGTAACAGGGAGATGCCAAACCCGGCGCCCAGCACAGGAGTACTCCAGCCAGGTGAGTCTTGCATGTGGCTTCATAACTCTGCCCCAGGAGAACTAACTCTCTCTCTCTCTCTCCTGTAATTCAGTGCAGTTTCTATTTCAAACTCCAGATCCACTGGGATGGTGCAAGCCACGTGAGTCAGTGTGGGGCTTCCCCTCCTTTTGCTCAGGGTGGGGTCCACGTGGGAGGAGGTAGATGATGCCAAGATGTGAAAGGGGCACCCACCGGTTCTCAGTCACGGCTTCACAGACACATTTGCTGCCCTCTCCTTTATTCTCACCCCCCTGACCTCGACAGCCCAGGGACCCTCACCTCAAGCAGAGGAGAAGGATGACATCGATTTCCAAGGACTTCCTTTTCGCTCTAGGTCTGCACAGCTGTCCAAGGGCACTAGGAGCCCTGGTGGCATCACAGTTACATGTGAGGCTGTGATCTGCAAGGTCCGCAGTTCAAAACTACTAGTCGGCTGCCCTGCAGGAGAAAGACAAGGCTTTCTACTCCCATAAACACTTACAGTCTCGGAAACCCACAGGGGCAGTTCTACCCTGTGCTACAGGGTCACTATGAGTCAGCATTGACTTCATGCGGTGAGTTTTTGGTCTAAGGGCACATCTGCCTGGCGATTGCTTCTTCTCAGGATGCTTTGCGCCTTCTCAGACAGTAGGGAGCGGGCTGGAGCAGGACGCCTGTCATCGGGAGCTACCAACACCTAATTCCCTCAGCGAGGAGTGGGCCACAGCCGTCACCACCCAACCCACTGTCCTGGAGTCCAGGCCACCTCACACTAGCTCTGTATCAGAGTTCACAGGCTGTAAATCTTATTTTAAGGCCAACAAAACAATAACAACAACAACAACAACAACAAAAAGAAAGCCCCTGACAAAAATGGAAAAACCTATAAAGAGTTCAAGGTCTGTTTGTTGGCCTTTATGAGCGTTTTCCAGTCGAGTCTGATGGGGTGCCACACTCTGTCTCCAAAGTCTATTTTCGGTATTCCCCGGGGAGTTCATCACTTTGCTCCCCTTGCTGCTCTGTTGCATGCCCTCAGTGTTTCACCCCAGTGTGATGGGTTCAGATTGTGCACTATTCCCGCACTGTGTCTCCAGTGCTGTCCCCACAGCACTACGGTTTAGTGAGGGATGTCGTGTCGCATGGTGGGGCCAGCCCTGCGGTCCTCCCCATGTGTTGTCTGCTCTGAGCAGGAACATCGTCCTCTGGGCTTGGTGGGCCAGGATGTCCCCACTCCCTCTCCATCTCTTTTCGTTTCTCCTGTGTGCATTAATCTGATGTGCCCCTCTCCCCCAAGCTGTAGCCCCAGTGCTGTCCTCTGAAGTGCATTCTTCTGGGGTGGGGGTGGGGCTGTAAATCTTTATGGGGGCAGACAGCCTCATCTTTCTCCCACAGAGTAGCGGGTGGATTTGAACTGCTGACCTTGCAGTAACCAGACAGCACCATCACCCCATTTCTCCGCAACAGTTTTATCCCAACGCCAAGTCTTCTCTGTTCTTCTGGAGGCTTAGGTTTGGATAGTTTGCGTTTCCTCCCCCCTCATATTTCTCCTCCGAGCCTAGGTTGCCTAGCAGCTTGAGTGGGGTGTGAGGGGAAGACAAAGGAAGAAATACGAGACAGAGAAAGTCTGTCAGGCAGTATTCCTCAGCACTGTCGTTGTCGTTGTCATCATTACTTTATTTTCACTCGTTCAGGCCCTTGTGTCTCTCACTGTGCTACAGTAATCGTCTCCCAAGTTCTGTCCCCAGCCTCACGCCGTGTCCTTGCTGAGAAGGCCCTTCTAAAATATCAATCTGTCTTGGGTCTAACGTGCTCTTGGGCTCCTGACTGTTCCCCAGACAACATCTCATCGGTGGCCACGACCTTGGAGGACCCAGCCCCTGCCTCACCCCACTCACTTCCTGCCCCTCCCACGTTGAGCTTTGTTCCCCAATAAAACCAGCCTGATTCTGAGTCTCTGTTCACACATGTCCTGCTTCCACGCACTGAGATGCCGCTCTCCTCCTGCAATCTAATGAATGCTCATTCTTTTTTTCCCCAATCAGATCAGCTATCTCTTCTGCTAGGAAGTCTTCCTGACCCAGTACTGCTCTCAGTGACCTCAAAGTACTCCCCGTCAGAGGCAAACCCAAGCCAGGATGAGCGCTCACTTTATCTACACCTATGATAATGACAGGCCAATTAAAATAAAAAACAATAGACAACAAAGGCTGGAGAGGGTGCAGTGAGATTGGAACTCTCACACACTGCTGGGGGGTCTGTCCCCCAAAGAAGCAAGAGCCTTGGCAGGAACAGATGCAGATACTCTCCTGGTCATCGCCACACAGTCTGAAATCACGAGATTTTTTGGGGACATACGCACAATGGAATACGATGCATCACAAAAAGAAGCAATGATGAACCAATGATGGGCACCTGGTGGCTGGGGTGGAGCCGGGGCACCTTTTGCTGAGTGATGGGAGTCCACCACAAAGGGCAGGTGTTGTTTGAGATCACCACTCTAGCAATACAAGCCAAGACCCACATTTGCATACTAAAGGGAGCAGGCTTTGGAAGTTACCTGGAAAGGAAGTTGAAGAACAGACAAGTGTGGGCTGGGATGAAAGGGAGAACAGAGGTCCACAGGAAAAGAGAAACCGGGGTGGGGGTGGGGGCGTTGCAACGTGGGGACAAGGGGGGGTGGGATCAGATCTGGCGTGGATTGATGAGGGGTTTGAAATGTGGACCGCAAAGTTGATGGTCTGAAATGTAAACCCCCACCTAATCCACAACTTTAAAAATACTTTAAAAGAAAAGAAATTACTAATTTCCGTGTACCACGGACTTCTAATTGATTTGGTTCCATCAGGATATCTGCTCCTATAAATAAGCTATATAAATAACATATGGTTATTTTTCTGTGCATCAGCACCGCCTAGCTTAGTGCATTGCTCCAAGTAGGCCCTGAACGTTTAGGGACCCAGGAATATCAGAGCGAGTGCAGGAAAAGCCAATTGGGATATTGTACAGGAAAGGGAGGAGGACACGACACAGGAATGGGCCGGGACTGGGGCAAGGGTTGCTTGAAATAAGGCCCTTTAGCAGCGAAGGAGTTAGCCACTCAAGGGACTACCAGAAGGGTAGCGCCCTACCTGGGCGGCACACCTAGAACTACAAGTCCCAGGAGTCCCTGCGGCGCGGACCGGAAGTGTCCTGTTCCACAGCGGCGACCGCGAGGGGCGGCGGCCGCAGCGGCGGGAGATTCAAACCTGGAAGGAGACCCATGGAAGGGAGAGGCGCGGGCTCGGGTCCCCGGCCGGGCCGGGCGGCTTGTGAGTGCTGGACGGGGCCGAGGAGGGGTTCTGCGGCGTGGCCGCTGGCCCAGGGCTGGGAGGTCCTGGGAGACGCCGGGCAGGGGTGGGTGCCCGGCCCGCGGGGCGCGCGGGCGGTGGGACTGCGCTGGGGAGGGAGCGCTCAGCTCAAGCCGCAGGCGTCGGGGGTCGGCCTGTGGGCAGTAAAACTCGCCCTGCCCGCTGTGTTGGCGCCCAACTCGGGGGGTGTAGTGGTTACGCGGTGGGCTGCGAATTGCAAGGTCAGAGCTCGAAACCCACCCGCCGCCCCGAGGGAGAAAAAACAAACGACGAGATTTGCTGCCCCCGTGAAGTGGCCGCCTCAGAAACCCCCAGGGGCGGCTCCACCCTGCCCTGTAGGGTCACTATGGGTCGGGCTCGACTCGATGGCAGTGAGTTTGGTAGGTTTTGAGGTTCGAGTCCAGGTCTAGATGGTGGCCCACGGCTTCTTAAACTTCAGCAGTTACCGCGTGCTCTTGCCTCAAGTTGCCAGGGGCCAGCCCACCCCTCAAGGGACCTGGGGGTCGCCCGGGCTTTGAAGATACAGCTTTGAGACTGTATCTTTCAAACCTGCGAGGGCTGGACTCACCTGGGAAGCTTATTTAAAATGCAGATTGTACAAGGCGGGGACTGGGGCCCCTAGTCTGCAGGTGTGCTTCCTGCCCCACCCCAGGTGAATCCGATGCAGGTAATCTGTGGACTACACTTTCAGGGTCATGAATGAGCTTGGGATTGGAAGAGCTGGGGGTCAGAAAGCTTTCCAGGCCACCTTCTGAGTGAAAGGCTTCCCTCCTCTCCAGCAGAATACTCCAAGTCAAATTCAAGTCTGTTGAAAGAAAGCTCATTTCAGACCCGAGAAGGGCAGGGAGACTGCTGTGTATTTTTATTTTTTTTTTTGATGGCATGTATGTGTACAGTGCCCCATGGCTCACAGCTCTCAATTCATAGCTCTGAGGTGATGTCACCCACTGACTGGTTTATTTTCCATGCTTAGCAACCAACACTTGTTCCTCGTTCATTCCCTAAAAGGAGCGGAGGGCTGTCTTGTGGTTGGCTAGTGCTTTCAAATCTGGACATCGTTATTATTTTCTCCTTGGTCCACTGCCAATTCAAATAAGCCCCACCGCTCCCCCAAGTCAGACCGCAGGCTGTGAGAAAGCAGGAGAGGGAGTGGCATTAAGTGTGGCATCAAAGACAGATGGACTGCACTCAATCTCCCTTCAAGTTCTCTGAGTTTACGTTTATTTGTTTTGGGGGGGAGGTCATGTGGCTTCCTCTCACTGTGTCTGTTTTGGTTTGGTTTGGTTTGGTTTGGTTTTTTCCTAAGTGAAATGTAGGCGGGAGGAAGGGTAAAAGGAGGCTGTGCCCAGTGCAGGGGGCGTGTCTTATTTAGGAGGTTTGCCATTTGCGGGTTTGGGGATCAGAGTGCTAGGAGATTATTGTCTTTCTCAGGTGACCTATATCAAAAAGGAAGGGAAGGAAACCATCAGCACCTTTTAAGTCGCCACTGCCCCAGAGGCCATTGCAACTCCTAGACACCCTATAGGACAGAGTAGAACTGCCCCACAGTGTGTCTAAAGCTGGAAATCGTTTTTTTTCTTAAGTCACTCTACAGCACTCATAACATCCCGACACGAATTGTATCAAGCATATTTGTACAGATGTTGCCATCATCATTTCCAAAACATTTTCTACTGAGCCCTTGGTATCAGCTCTTCTTCCCTCCCTCTCCCACCATCGTGAATCCTTGATCAATTATGCATTGTTATTATTCGTATCTTACACTGTCCATTGTCTCCCTGCACCCACGTTTCTGTTATTTGTCCCCTTCGGGAGGGGGGGTGCTATATGCCCAACCTTGTGATGGGTTCCCCCTTTCTCCCCTTTCCCCCTCCCCAACCATCCCCCTACCCTCATGACATCGCTACTCCCACTACTGTTTCTGAGGGGTTTATCTGTCCTGAATCCCACGTGTCCTGAGCTCTTATCTGTATCAATGTGTGTTCTCTGGCCTAGACCCATGTGTAAGGTAGAACTGGGTCACGGTGTGGGGGCGGGGGAGGGAGGCATTCAGGAACTAGAGGAATGATGTGTGTTCCATTGGTGCTATACTGCACTTGTTTGAATCGTCCCTTCCTTGTAACGCTTCTGTGGGGGGAAGGCTGGAACACTCGATGAAAGCAGACTTCCCCCATCGTTCTCCCACGTCAGCCTGTCAGCCGCTGAGCGCTCAGTCACTGCTGCCCACTGCCCACCAGGGCTCCTCTTCCCCTCGGCTCCCACTTCGTGCCTGTTCATTCTTCAAAACCTAAAGGAGATAGAGAAGCTCACTTTCCAGCCTGGGACCACACTGGCCATCCGCCCTGGATCAGAAGGGCAGCGAGGCATCCTTAGGAAGGAGAGGGAGGACCGGCCGATGGAAAGGGAGGAAGGAATCCTCCTCTGGAGGGTAGAGGGCATGGGGCTGACCGGCATCGCTGGGTGGGAGCAGGGACATGGGCGTCACATGGAGATGCGTCAGGTCTCTGGGCAAAGCTGCCCGAGGAAGGGAGTTAAGGGTCAATGCTGAGCCTCCTGCCCCTTTGCTGATCTTATGCCTCCCGCCCCTCAGATGAACGCCTCACAGCCGAGGAGATGGATGAGCAGAGGAGGCAGAACGTGGCCTATCAGTACCTGTGCCGCCTGGAGGAGGCCAAGCGGTGAGTGGAGGGACTGCCTCTGCCCGCACCCGCCTTCCCATCCTGCCCATCCACCCCAGGCCTGTGTCCCCAAACAAGTGCAGTGGGTGAGAGTCGGTTCTGTGGGAAAGGGACAGTTAGAAGCATCTTTTCTCCTCTTCCTCCTCCTCCCTTCTCTTTCTTCTCCTTCAGTAAATATCTCAAAAGAGATGGCTGTTGGCGTACATAACCACCATGCCGTTATAACAGTCAACCGATTCCCTGGGCGATCAGTATCCAGCCTATTGTCAAATGTGCTGATCGCATTAGGGGTCCATGGTTGTCCAGTCCGTGCCAACTCAGAGCGAGCCCTCTCTGTGCAGCCGGAGGACGCGCTGCCTGGCTCTGCACCGTCCAGTTTACAGCGGCTAACTCAAATAAGGAGTTTTTTTTAAAGTTCACACAATACGTCTGCGCATTATGTCTTTAATCTCCGGCAGCCCCTCCTCTCCTTTTCCGGTTCGTTATGCCATTGACTTGTGGAAGAAACCGGGTCATTTGTGGTGCTGTCCATCCATCCCACATTCCAACTCGGTCTCCTAGTGCCCTGGTGTCATTTACCCTGTCCCTCACACCCACCCCGTATTTCCCGTAAGTGGATGTTGGCGCTGAAGACTTGCTCAAACTCTGCCTCAACCTTTGGACAAGAAGACTCCCTTGGGCGTGCGTCTCACTCGGCAGGAGGCGCTGCGCCCGCTTGTCCCACGTTCAGTGCAGCCGAGTCTGACCCAGGGTCTCTTCTGTCTGCCGTCCAGCTCCTCACGGACGCTCCCTCGTGCCTGTGACCACTACCTCGGCTGGGGTTTGCAAGATGACTACTTCCTAAATGTGTGCACATTCCCTACCTCTTCCACGTTTCTTAGCGGGATTATTTGCTACAGAAGGCTTTTTCCATAGAGCGATTTGGTTATCTTTGGTGTATGCATATTTATTTTATTTTCAAAATGCTTTTATTCATCTCACCATATGCCAACTACCCTAGATACCTTCAAGTTGGTTTGAACACTTAGTGATGCCGCGTCATGAGGTTTTCTAGGCTATCGCCTTTATGAGAGCAGACCTCTAGGCCCTCCGGCTGTGGAGCTGCTGGGTGGATTCAGCCCCTTGACCTTTTGTTAGCAGGGGATACCAGGGAGAGTCAGAGACAGCCACCTGCGTTTACCTTCTAAAGACATGAAGTCTACTGTTAACATGCGCACGCGCGCGCACACCCCACTACACCCATATCATACCACACACCACACACACTACCCCACACTCACACACCACACCCAGACACACCACACCACATACCACACCATACACACTACCCCACACTCACACACCACACCCAAGCACACCGCACCACATACCACACCACACACACTATCACACACCACCGACACACACTACACCACACACCACACCACACACACTACCTCACACTCACACACCACACCCAGACACACCACACCACACCACATACCACACCACACAATACTAAACACGCTGTTCCACATCACACACACCATACCACACACCCCCATTTCACACCATACTGCACCATACTCTACACCGGACCATACACGCACCACACACATACCACACCACATGCCCCACACCACACCATTACAATAGAAAGAAATTAAATGTTGTTCCAGAGGGCCCAGGGAATCTTAGATAGACACTCAGTGGCATATTTTGAATGTTCTCAGAAGTTTGTGGAGCGGCTAGGCCAGGCAGAAAGTCAGGTTTCTGGCAGGGGGAGGCATGATTCCAGGTGTGACTGGCTCTCTGGAAACAGATTTTCTTATAGGCCCTCCTATGTCGGGGAAGTTTGGAGACCCTCGTCTGAAGAGCCTTTTCCTGTACAACTGTCAGCCATCCTCTGAGATTAAGGAGACCAGCTCTCATCTTACCAATCACACGGGTTCCAGAGGGGCATGATCTGCGAAGAGAAAACTTATAGATAAGAGAAAGGATGGGGTACAGTTGAGGCGTGGGGGACCCCTGAAGCAAAAGACAAACTCGGGCCCAGAGCTTTGTTCGAGGCAGGTTTGTATGCACTCTGCCACGTAGCCTGGGAGAGTTGACAGTTATCCGAGGGCCTACAAAGAAACACGAATTCATCAGCGAGCTGTCCACAGACAGGAGGGGAGGAGAAGGTCGGCAACAGGAGTGCCTGGTAGTTTGCACACTGCTGCGTTTCAGCAGCTTTGCCAGGGCACAGGAGGGAGGTGTCCACTGTATCCCAGGCTGAGTCAGACCAGCCACTGCGTCCTCAGCTCCCATGGTTGAGCCGTCAGCATTTCCCACGGGCTTGCTGGATCTGTGGAAGGTGGTTGTGTCAGTCTGGGTGGACTAGAGAAACAAATTCATAGAGACTCGTGTATAAGAAAGAATTCTATATACAAGAGCAGTTGAATATTGAGAAAACATTCCAGCCCATCCCGGTGCAGATCAAGTCCAGAAGTCTGATATTAGTCCATATATCAGATACCAATCTATAAAGTCCTCTTCAGACTCACGGAACACATGCAATGATGCCGAATGCAGGAAGATCACAGGCCAGTGGGTGGGAAGTCTTGTGGATCCAGTGGCATTGTAAGCATCTCAGTGCTGGCAGGGTCTCCACTTGGCTTCTCTAGTTCCCAGGGCACGGGGTCTATCAGCATAGTGCCATGTGCCTTATCAGTGAGCAGAGGGAGAGAATCTGTCTCCCGCCTCCAAGGAGGAAATCCAGGAATTCCCAGGGAAAGGCCGTGCCCACACAGAGGCCTCATTGGCTACTGTCTGATTGACAGACTGGACTCCACCCCTTCACTCTTAATCCTCTCAAGTCCCAAATCGACAAGATTATGTAACTAACACGGTGGTAGTCCTGTCTCATCTGCCTAAGGAGCAAACAGTTTTGCCCCCCCCATACTCACTCTCTCCAACGTGCTTCCACAGTCATTTGTCCTGAGAGTTTCCGACGAAGCAGGAAGTGCAGTGGTCTAGCCCTCATGGACATGGGCTGCAGCCTCGGGCTCCAGCATGGGAACTCGTGAGGGTGGCACAGCACCCCGCAATGCTTCCTTCTGTTGTGCGCGGGTCACTAGGGGTCGGGGCCCACTCCATGGCGTCCAGTGACAACAGCCACAATGCTCATTTTGCAGGCCAGGCGCCAAGGTTCCGAGAGGTGAAGTGGGGACATGGTGCCGAAAGCAGGTCTTCTGACCCTTAGGGCTATGATCTTTCTGGCCTAGCGCCGTGCCGTTCCCCTCAGATCCCCTACCAGGCATCCCGCCACCACCCTCACCAAAGCCGGGCCAGGAGCTGTGCGGACCCTCCAGGCAGACGCGGCCTTTCAGCACCAGGGTGCTCAGAGCACGTAGAATGAGAAACAACCGGCAGGTGTCGCTGGGCTCAACAGCCAACTGCGTAGCCAGACTGAGTGCGAGGCTGTTGGGCTCTGTCTGGGAAGATTCTCTGGGGTCGGCAGGGCTGAGGGTTGGCCGGTCCAGCTGTTTGGGGCAGACTGGGAGAAGGTGGGTGCAGCCAGGCAATGGGCAGGAAGGTGAGTGGGGGGGTGGGGGCAGAAACAACTGGGCTGCAGGCGTGCAGCCCGGATAAGCCGGTGTCTTGGTGCTCCCAGCTGGATGGAGGCTTGCCTGAAGGAGGAACTGCCGTCCCCCGTGGAGCTGGAGGAGAGCCTGCGGAATGGGGTGCTGCTGGCCAAGCTGGGCCACTGCTTCGCCCCCTCTGTGGTTCCCTTCAAGAAAATCTATGACTCGGAGCAGCTGCGATACCAGGTGGGGAAGAGGGGCTTCCACCGACCTATTTCCTCTCCACGTGCCCCTTTCCCAGAAAGCTGCGAGGGTGGGGAGAAGCTGTATAATAAACTCCACTGGGACAACAGGCATCATTTGGTGCCTCTGAGCCAGGGGGGTGGCTATGACCCTTAGCAGCAGGGGGCTTGTGCTAGCTGGGCTTTGAGATGTCCCCAATATGCGAACTGTCACACAGACTTCTCCCCACAGTCCACACTCAGAGAGGGTGCTTCCTAGACAGGCTGACCCCCCTGGGCTCCTGCCCCAGCTCTGGAGCACCCTCACTGGCCAGGAAGTTTTCCTGGCTCATCAACCTCCTCTGTAGGCCTGTTGGCCCATCCATTCTTGGTGGCTTCTGGGCAAACAGTCTCTTTTCCTTCCAGGCAACTGGCTTACATTTCCGTCACACGGACAACATCAACTTCTGGCTGTCAGCGATAGCCCACATCGGACTGCCTTCGGTAATGCTGGGCCTCAAGAGCCGGGCTCTTCCTTGGTCTTCACCGGCGTCCCCCACGCTTTCTCTCCCTCTGGCCTAATCTCCCATCAGTCTTCTCAGTTAGCTTGACCTGTGAACTGTTCCTTGGGGCTGCGTGCCTTCCAGCCAGGTCCCTTGGCCTCTGCTCCCACTTCCCTGTGGACACTGGAAGGAAGGCTCCCTGGCGGTGCTGTGTCACTCACCTGATACGTCGGGGCTTCTGTGTAACACCGGCCAGGGTGCTCGTGGGCAGCAAGGGCAAACCACCTTGCTGGGTGGCAGGCTTCACGCCCAGGTTGGACCCAGCCATCTGGCCTCTCCCTCCTTGGCTCTGTTTGTTTCTCACCTGTCAAACGGGGGTGGGGGGTGGGGTCCCTGCCCCGCTGCTCCCCGTGGCTTTCGGGGGCATCGGAAGGTCTTTGTGGATTGGGACCAGGGTACAGATTAAGGCAGGAGTGGACCCTACCATCTGAGGGGTGATCATCTATAGAATGCTCTCTTCTCCATCCAGAAGGGAGCGGTACCATGGGTGAACAGCGGCCCAGGAAGGCGCTTTGGTGGGAGGCAGGCACAAGGGCGGTCCAGTGGCCTCAGCGGGGCTGGCACACGTTCGAGCCTCCAGGTCTGCTGTTTGTCAGGGGCCAGATGTAACCACAGTGGACAGAGGTTCGGGCTCCTTACCCTCGCTAGGTGGCCTGAGGGGTCGTCCTTGTGACTCAGTTCTTCGTTGGGCCCCTATTGATCAGAGGCCTCTGCTGGGTCCTCAGTGGGGACGTGGCCAGCTCCCAGCACGCTGTGTTTCTGGGGAGTCAGAGGCAGGTGCACAGGCTCGCCATCTTTGCAGGATGACGGATCGCCTGTGTCCTAAATGCTGAACAGCTTCCTCGGGACTCTGGCCGGTCCAGGGCCCCTGTGGACGTGCCTGTGGCTAAGTCTTGGCTCATTTGTGTCCCCAGTACCTTTAATTTACATCTTTCGTTTAAGTCGACTGGAAACGGTTGGGAGACTGCTCTAGATGCCCCTGACAATGAGGGAGCACCCTGCCTCGGTCTCAGAGAGAGACCCTTTCCTCAGACTCCATTGCACCTGCCTGGTGCTGCCTAAGGGTCTCCCGTGGCAGTGACTCTCGGGTCTCCTCCCTAGACCTTTTTCCCAGAGACCACAGACATCTATGACAAGAAGAACATGCCCCGGGTGGTTTACTGCATCCACGCCCTCAGGTGAGAGACCCCAAACTTGTCCTCTAGGTTCCTCTAGGTCAGCGGTTCTCAACCTGTGGGTCTCGACCCCTTTGGGGGTCAAATGACCCATTCACAGAGGTCGCCCAATTCATAATAGTAGCAAAATGAGTGATGAAGTAGCAACGAAAATAATGTTATGGTTGGGGGCTCACCACAACATGAGGAACTGTATGAAAGGGTTGCGGCATTAGGAAGGTTGAGAACCACTGCTCTCAGTGGATGAACACCACACCCCAATCCCCCCAACTCCCCCACCCAGCCACAGCAAGTCCTGCACAGGACGGGCCCCCCGAGAATGAGATCCCACACTGACCCAGTGCGCTGAGGTTCATAGGCCTGTTTGTGGGCGTACCTATATGTGACCCATGCGGGTGCATAGATAGGGCGGGCGGGAAGGGTCGCAGAGACGGGAAGGCAGTAGGGATGGGAGGTAGGGGGTGTCTCTAGCTTTTGACTGGGTTACAGAGGACTCAGAATAGGACCTAGCACCCGTGTCACACGTAAATCAGACGAAGACACTCCGAAAAGTTTGTGGGGATTTGAGATGAAAAAATGATAGAGTTTCCTGTGAACCTTTGGGACCCCACGCCCACAGTGTGGTGGAGGTTGGTGTGACTTGCAGCCTGCTGGAAAAATCATAGGAGCAGGCCCTCGGGTCCCCCTTGTCGTCTGCTCCTGACCTATGTGCTGGGACCTTTCCTGCCTCGGTGCCTGCGTGTCCTCCCCCTCTGTGCCCTGTGCCTGCATGTCCTCCCCCCTCTGTACTCTGTGCCCGCGTGTCCTTCCCCCCTCTGTACCCTGTGCCCATGTGTCCTTCCCCCCTCTGTGCCCTATGCCCGTGTGTCCTTCCACTCCCCACC